AGTAGTGTATTAAGGACTTCGCACCATCAAACGACAAACAGCGAGAAGGAATACCCGGACAATGTCTTTTCCTCTTCACTCTCTCTTCCCCCGGCCCACTGCCGGAGTTCCGACCCCTTCCCGTTCTCCGGCTTTGGCCTACTTATAGTATCTTCTATGGCTCAGGCCCAACCCATTGTGGCAGCTTGTACTCCTGCTTACTCAGATCCTCACAATATTCAGCATTTTTTTAATGTTTCAAGCAGTTACCTCCAATTTATCATTTCCTCACTGTGTGTCTGTGAGATACAATTTCAAAGAGACCGAAAGAGAGAGCGAAAGAGTGAGAGAGGGTGGGGGGAGGGAGAGAGGTGGTGGTGGTGGTGGAGGAGGTAGTGGTGGTGGTTTATCCGAGCCACATCTTCATGGCATTCCAATACTTGTGCACCACACCTCGTATTTGGTCGGGGCAGCGGGTGCTGCGAACACCCCACCAGGAGGCGGTGGTGGCGGTGGGCCCCCAATCCCTGGTGGTGGCGGTGGTGGTGGTGGGCCCCCAATCCCTGGTGGTGGCGGTGGTGGTGGTGGTGCCCCTGTGCCTGGCATAGGAGGAGGAGGCGGTGGTGGCGGTGGGCCCCCAATCCCTGGTGGTGGCGGTGGTGGTGGTGGTGGTGCCCCTGTGCCTGGCATAGGAGGAGGAGGCGGTGGTGGCGGTGGTGCCCCTGTGCCTGGGGGAGGAGGAGGTGGTGGTGGTGGAGGTGGTGCCCCTGTGCCTGACATAGGAGGAGGAGGAGGTGGTGGTGGAGGTGGGGCAGAAACACTTGTGCTCGCCATTGGTGGTGGTGGAGGAGGGGGTGGTGGTGGTGGAGGAGGTGCCGCCGTGGTAGAAGTGGTGGTAGTATCGTTGCTGTCTGGGGTCTCGGTGTGCTCCACCAGCGGTTCAAGTGGTGCTGGTGCCTTTGCATCACCGCCCTGGCTCTCGCACGTGGACTGGCGCTTCAACTTGGCCCGCAGGTGCCGGAACGACGGCGACGTCGGGTGCGCAGCGCCTGCAACCAAATCACACGCACACACGCACATACACACACACGCACATACACACACGCATATACATGCACAAGCACACACGCGCACATATACGTACACACACACACACACGCACAAGCACACGCGCGTGAGCGCGCATCAGGTGTAGATGTGTTTGTGAGCGCGAACTTGTGTGGTGGACGCGTGCGCACATGCCTCTCATAGTGCAAAGTGCTGTGGGAACCCACAGCACCCCAAACTCCAGCCGGTATTGTCTTCCCCCCTCCACGCCTGGCACGGCCGGCCCACCTGAGATGTCGCTGGCCTCGGAGCCCTGCCTGCTGATGGTCGGCGATGACGGTGTCATGATCTTCTCCTTCAACAGTTCAAATTCAGAGCTCGTCTGCCGTCGCAGCGTCCGCAATCGCGACGACACCGCGTGCTCGCTCCCCTGTCGTGGCGATCACGATCAAAGTGGTGACGTCGTGGTGAATACGCGGGCGCATGGGGTCGTCGGGTGATGAGAGGAGAGAATTGTGCAACAAAGATCTTTGGGTTAAGCATCAAGGCAGACACCAGTTCACTTCACACCACGCAATTGTAACAGCAGCAGCAACTATAACAACAACGACACCAGCAGCAACACAGCGTGTGCTCAACGCAACACGGGCTTACCCGGCCGGCAATGGGAGTGATGGATGTTGCTTTGGTGACCTGGTGCAGAATGAACTTCCACACCTCCGCCGCCACCTCTGTCGGCTGATTATCGTCCATGGACAGCAATTGCGCAATAACGGACGTGAAGAGTTTCCGCACTTGATCGTCACGCAGCTTTCGGTTCAGCGCAGCAAACGTTTCAAACGGATTGCTCGTGTCCAGGGAATACGTCTCTGTCGCCTGTTGGTGCAGCAAGCACAGATGCAATCAGAGGTTGTGTGTGTGTGTGTGTGTGTGTGTGTGTGTTGTTGTGTGTGTGTGTGTGTTGTTGTTGTTGTGTGTGTGTGTGTGTAGTAAGAGAGTGTGTCCGAAGAGCGCGCGCAAGTAAAACGAGCATCAATTCAACCACAGCCCATCGCCGCCACCACCACTGCCACTGCCACTGCCACCACCACGACGCCGGGTGCCGTACGCTGTTGATGTCTGCAAAGTAGTGCTGCTGGAAGACGTCGGCCTGCAGAAGAAAATCCGGGGATTCGATGCGCACGCGCAAAGACTCGAGCACCTCCAACAGCCCAAGCGCGAGCAGCCGCCGCCTGAAGGAGGGGATAGAGAAAGGGGGGGAGAGGAATCGTGGGGAGTTGAGTTGAGATGTTGATGCATGCTGAGACAGGGACTGCAGCAGTACCAAACGCCACCCAAACGCTTCGTCGTGCAATGCACCAATACATGCAACAATAGCGACAATGTATGCGATGGCTCACTGCAACATGAGATGCATCCCATCACACCACATGGTGTCATCAGTGACCACGGACCTAACTTGGAGGCGGGCAGCCAGCTCCGGTGTGCCGCGCAGCAACGCGTTGACAAACCCAAGCACCGCCGTCAAGTACGCGTCAGAATGGGCCGTGACTTGTAGCTCCTACATGATTGGGGAACAAGGCACACACAGCAGCAGGCGGGAGAGGGGGATGCATGCCGGGTGAATCAGGGGGTATGCTGCTTACACCGACACTTTCGCTCAGAATCAGGCACCACGAGGCACTTCCACGCATGCAATCATGCAACCATGCAAGCACACAAACATGAAGACTGGCTGAAGTCACGTCACACATCACACATCACACAATACACCGCAGACGACACGTGGCACACGACACACAACACATGTGCACAGGAGCAACGATGCAAATGCACAATGCGGCACCTGAATGATGAGCCGAAGCGGGTCCTCAAATCCACTGTGCAAATCAATGCCGGCACTGCCATTACCATCATCACCACCACCAGCGTCGTCGTCGTTTGCCTCGAACAGAGAAAATGAGTCCAGCACAAGCCCACACGCTACAGCGTGTGTGTGTGTGTGTGTGTGTGTGTGTGTG